ATTCTTATATATAGGAGTTATGTATTATTTCCAGATAAAAATGTACTTTCATTTTAATTGAGCCCAAACATTGGAGTAATTTACACTAGTTTTTCCCAAAGTAACACTAGTTTTTCCCAAAGCGGTTAACAATAACATTGAACATTGGTTGGGCGCCCCGACTCCCGACGCACAATTTTCCACTCACACTTTATGGCAAAGACATGCACATCGTAATAAAATATTCAGGATAATATCTTTCTAAAATATTGCTAGACTTATTACATTTGAAAACCTTTTATTTCTTGAAACTTCGTATATGCTTATGGATACATTGATATGTCTAAATATGTATGAAACATTTATGTCATAAAAATATAACAATCAAACATTATGTTCACATAAGGACAATTAAGATAACACGTTTATACATTTAACCATATGACGTACGCATGAAAATGAGATGAGGTTTACTCAGCTGAAATCCTTATCCATTTACATTTAGAATGACAAGTAGAGATGTCCTTGACTGCCCACGAGATCAACGTGCTAAAAAATTATAGTTTATTACCATTGATTAAATTAAAAACATTGACTCCTAAAATTTTATCCATATCCTTATTTTATTAAGATAAATAGTTATTGAAATTGAAAACCAACGTGTAAATGGAGAGTGCTCTTAATCAAATAGAAATTTAAAATTGAACATGTTATCAAAATCACTTTCGGCCCATAAAGGTTTTATCTGGTTAATTTTCAGAGTTAGGAGATAGTTACATCTTTACAGTGTTAAGGAATGGATATACAAAAATAAATCTAACGATCAAAAGCAAACACTAGAAGTGCAAAAATATGAATTTTCTGGGGATTTAATTCAATAAAATTTAGATTAAGCTCCCATTTGATAGCAAATTTTCACCCCAAAAAATCAATTTTTTAACTGTTATTTTACTATTCTAGTCGTCCTTTTTTACTTCTTCACTCACAAGTGGGATCCTCTTTTCTCTTTAACGGTCAAAAAATCAATTCTCATAATTACAACCGAATAGGCCCCAAGCAACTTTAAAAGTTGAGTTCTGACACTAGACAAAACAAACGAAATGAAATGTTTCTTCCTTCTTCTTCATTTAAAGTTTAGTCATCTCGTGAAAACTTTTTGCGATGTTCAGTGACCATTTGGGTTATTAACTCAGTTCTATGGGCTCCAATATTACTTGCTGGTTATACGATCTATTTGCCTTACGAATGATTGTGAGATAGAACTTGAAAAGGATCTAAAGTGTGATATTCAATGTTACTTTGGCTCGAATCAAACTCATCATGAGCGAGTGGAAAATGTTTAAAATTACGAGTCGTGAATCGTCCATGTGGAGTAATATGACCCATAAGATATCAAAAGGATTAGAGGGAGTGGTTTGAATTTAGAATTTAAATCTACAACTCTCCATAACTTTCATTTTAACCTCCAATTATTTGTCTAGCATTTGGGAGGGAGAATGATGGCAAGAAAAATGGTGAAATTTGTATGGAAAATATTACCAAAATATAATCACTATTTTTGACATGAAAACTCACAAAAATTGGCGCTTAAGTTGTGGCTAATAATCACCTTCCATTGTGATCGAGATTGGGATCATCTGATTGTAAGAAAATTGCAAATTTGGAGTTTTGAAAAGTAATGTAATTCAACTATTCAAAAGATTTTGAAATTCAGTCATTTCAAATAAGTATTTTGATCCAACTTTATTATTATGCATGCAGCAAATTCTTGCACTTAAAACCTAACATAAACTTTAAAACCAATTTTTTGTTTTATCTGACTTTTCAAATTTTTATTTTGAAATAAAAATCCTTTCATTTTTTTTACAATTAGGTTTTATCAAAATTTAATTTAATGCACAAATTACAAAAAAAAAAAAAAAAAAAAAAAAAAAAAGAAAAAAAAGAGTATAATTTGGAGGCGATATTTCTAAAGTTTGTTTCAGGCTTCGACAATCTCATGTACGATCCTAAGTTGTGTTAAGTTGGTTGTTATTGGTGTGGTGGTAGTCATTTTTGTGTGTGTGCATGGGGTAGCGTGTGTTAGATTGTGTTTATGTGAGTTCTAAGAAAGTAAGCATTTGCGGAATAAAAAAATAGTAAAAGTAATTTCAAAAGAAATATGGGTGCTATATGTAGCCCTTGTTTGGGCTATATTAAAATCAAATTTTGAGAAAAATGTATTTTGGAATAATAATTTTTTTGAAGAACGTGTTGTTAAAAAAGAATACTTTTTTTTTTAATATACAAGTAATATTATTTTATTGAAAAATATTAGATTAAAATAAAGAAAGAGATCCCTAAAAGGGAAAATTACCTACAAACCTACAATTAAAGACTAGTTTTCTTAAATAAGGAGATTAAGTTTAAATTTCACATATCAGGTGTTAATTAAAAATTATTAAATTAATTAGTACAGAATTAATACAAAAACCATTTTAAATACAACATCCTTTTAACCACTCACCCACTCTTTTCATTTTCCAATTTACTCTCTCACCTACCTTCCCTTGTCTTTCTTCCTTTCTCTATCGTTGTCGAAGATTGTTTCAATGCAACCCCCAGTGAGCTCACCTCCAGCATCCGATCCAATCAGCTCACCATTGCTGACTGCTTTAGTCCAGTATCCACCATCTCCAGTTCTCGAGACATCAACACCACCAAATTCGACTTCTGCGCTCAAAGCAAGACTCCGACTAAAGCTCCATCTCACAGCAAGAGCCACACTTCACCTTCATATGTTTTTGCTTTGGAGCTTATGAGCCCACCCGCACCTCAAATGAAAGCCCCCAAACCTAAGTCTATTCCATCCAGTCAGTCTTTTACCTAGTTTCATCAAGAGAGCCATACAGGTGCAATATCACTAAGAGAGAAATTTTGTGTCCCTGTTATTGTATATTCATATATAAATTTTTTGTCTTCCTTAAAAAAAAAAATAATCAGGTTTCTGAATGTTACCAAATGAATTTTTAATTGAATGTTGTCAATATGTTAAAATTGCTACTGTTTCTTTTTTCTTCTTCTTTTTGGTTATTGATAGGTTTGTTTTAATGAAAATATGTTGACTTTTTGTATCTCACTTAAAAATGATTTATAGGAGCTTTAAGTAATTTTTAGGCTTGATAGATTGAAAGCCGAAATAGGGAAATGTAATCAGTATTATTTTTGTGTTTTTGGGTTTTCTAAGAGTGAAGTGGGGAATAATTATGAAGTATGTACTCACGTGCTGCAGACAGTACTTTCGTAGCAATGCCAAGGAAATTGGCTTTATAAGTGTTGTTAAGATGTGAATGTCAAAATTTCTACAAGTGGAAGGAGGGCTTTCCTTGCTAGGATGTTTTTGGATCTCTACGGGCATCTTTTTTATTATAAAAAAATTGTTGTAATTGATAAAGATTATTCTAGTCATCACAAAAAACTAGTATGTCTTACTATTTTAGGCTATTGTGATGATAAGTTGTGATGCTGGTGTACAATGTGTGCAATTTATTTGTAGTGACATTTTTTAATTAAATCTGTGTTAATTGTGATTAAGTGTGACCAAACTTGTGTTAACTTTGACTTATTGTAATTGTATGTGTTGTGGTGCTAGTCTGTAGTGTGTGTAGGTTTTGTCGTGATCTTCTGCGATCAAGTCTGTATTAGTTGTGATCAATTTTGTGTTAATTGTAATCGACTGTGACTATGTGTTATGGTGCTAGTCTGCAGTGTATGCGAAGTTATTTGTGATGACTTTGTCACCAAATTTGTATTAATTGTGATCGATTGTGACCAAATTTGTGTTAATTATAACCAGTTGTGACTACAACCAAATTAACAGTGACTTCGTCACATATCGTCATAGTTAAAATCAAACTGATCACAGACAGTCATAATAAAGACAAATTTGGTCACAATTAGCACACAGTACTCAAAATATTGCTATCACCTCACCACCACTACCACATAGATCAATTCCAATGTACTATTATCACTTGTAACACACCTTCACAGCTACCACATAGATCTATTTCTTAAACACAGTTGTCACCCCACCGCCACCACCACTTGCAAAGAGAAAGAGACATTTTTTTAGAGAGAGAGAGAGAGAGCGGGTGTTTTGAATTTATGGAGGCTTCAGTCTTACCTAAATAGTTCCCTAAAATTGTGGATTTTTATCTGTGTTTGTAAATGTATATGGGGAGAGAGAGAGCTTGTGTAGAGAGAGCATTTTGAATTTCTAGAGGCTTTAATCTTTCATGCAAAGTTCCCTAAAAATTGTGGGTTTCTATTTATGTTTGTAAATGTATATATAGAAATAGAAAACTTTTGTAGATAAAGTGTTTTGAATTTTTGCAGGCTTCAATCTTTCCCAAAAAGTTTCTTAAAATTGGAGATTTTTGCATAGAGGTGGAGTGGGGTGGGGGCTCCAAAAGTGAGAAAACATAAATAATTTTTTTACCCAACAAAATGCTTATTGGAAGCATTGAGTATTCGACGAGACATTTTTGTTGACGTGCCAGGTGGATATTCTGGAGTGGGTGGGCGTAGGTTCCACGGGGTGCGTGGGTCGTAGGATATCATTAATTGATATATTCTTAATTTGGTTGGTGGGGAGGTGGGTGTGGTGGAGACAATCAATTCCAATTAAATATATATCATTAATTTGAATTAACACCTGAATTTTGAAATAATTTGACAAGTTTGATAATTTTGAAATGTAATTCTTATATATAGGAGTTATGTATTGTTTCCAAAGAAAAATGTACTTTCATTTTAATTGAGCCCAAACATTGGAGTAATTTCCACTAGTTTTTCTCAAATTAAAACTGGCCCATATTATATGGACATGAGTACATTTGACTAACGAACAGCCCATATTAGGACTACTAATGGGCTCAATAATTGAACTGAAGCCCATTGAATATTGGCTCATGTAAAGCCATTAATTTACAAAATAATAATTAGAAAAATAATTATTCAAAGTAAACCTAACATCCTACGAACTCAGATCCCACCTCCTCCCAACACATGGATGGTCAACCTCTTTGCCCGCTTTTCCTTTCCGTACTCCAAGGTTTTCTAGTCCACCCACAATAAAACCTGCCCGGACTGCCCAAGTATTACCGACTTTCCACGCCCTTTTATCACACCATCGATTTGAGCGAGGTCTCAGCAAGGTTTCCCTTGGCAAAAAAGAAAAAGACCAGTCACCATGGCTAAATTCTACGCCACCACCGCCGTGTTATTCTTCCTTTTCACCCTCATAGTCGCCCGATCCCCACTAAAACCACTGGAAAAAGATGACGACACCACCTCTAAATCTCAATCCCTACCTGCCGACCACGAGAGCTCCGTAATTCGCATCCCTACGGCGGAGATTCTCAACGCCGACGAAAACAACCACCGAATTGAACCTGATTCTTTGATCGTTCACTCTGTACCGTTGGATCTGGCCACCGCTAGATTCCGTCCGATCAACCGCCGGTTCTATTCGAGGACGAAGCATCCCGTGCACAACTGCCGCCACCACTACCATCTCAACCGTGACGACTTCTTCAAAGGGAATTCCGTGGAAAGGAAGGAACGCTTAGAGGTTCCCTACGGTGATGATATGCTCGTTTCCTCCGGTGAAAACAGTGATTTTGAGGAACCACCAACTTTCCGCGGCGTACGGGGGATTCCCAGCCGGTGGATGAGACTGCACCACCATCATCAGCACCAACACCATGACGACGACGACGACGACGACAGTGTTACGAGGATCATGTTAAAACGTAAGATTGTTGATCGACTCAATGGAGAAAATAAGTGGAAGAAACATTTTGGTGGTGAAAATGAGAAAGCAAAGGATGAGAAGAAAGTGAAAAGTAATAGTTTGATGAAGAGCATGCGCAAGTTTTTAGATCGTTATTTCTAGATTTTGATTCACCTATCTAGTTAGTATGCAATGGATCAGCCATATAGAAAATAAAATAAAATAAAATATTTGTATTATTATTATTATTATTATTATTATTATTATTATTATTATTATTATTATGTACGCTTTGGTTTATTTTGGTTAGGTTATGTTGTCTGCTTGCATCCGGTTGAGATGTTGAATGATATATTATCAGTTAATTTTGTATGATTTAATTTTCATGAATTTTTAATTTTTAATTTGCGATTTGATTTTTTTGTTGGGGATGCTAACTAGTTTATGTGTGATATATAAATGATTTTTGCCGTTGCACTCGAGTTACTAACATCGACACATATCAAGACGTTTTACTTGTGACAAGATTATAATAAGTATCTTTCTTGATCGAGGGGTATGAAAATGAAAGAAGTCTATTATGGGAAGAGGCAATTCAAGATTATAATGTTTCTTATAACCCTTTCCTTACCAATAATTTGTCTTCAAATGGAAGCCAAACCTCATGTTGAATATGTTTATATGCTTGGCCAAAACGTCCAAGACTCCATCTTAATTAAAGAGTAAATTTGTGAATAATTAGCATAAGAATAAACGGGTGATGGATAGATTTGAACTAGGTCGAGCCTCGAACTATATATAGCTTCCTTGAAGGTCCATCAACTACTCCTCCGAAATTCGCCATCTATATCTTTTCGATCTGTAAGTCACGTAAAATAGTTAAAATAGGTTTCCCTCTAGTTCTAAGTCACGTAAAAATCGATTGCAATTTTAATAACTACATTGATGATTCTATCTCGTGGTCGTGGAGCCATACACGTAGATTTAAATAGATTAAGGTATCAAAACTGATCTTTTAAATATTAGGGAACCATAACCATGCCACATGAAATGTTGGAAAGCACAATCTTAATTTTCCCACTGAAGGAATTCATTAAGGAAATAATATATTAAATCTAATAGATTTTATATGAATTTTTAGTTATAAATCACTACACTGTAGAATAAATAGTATCTCCGGGGGGGCTCTCAACATAAGATTCTATATTTTAAAGTCAATACTTAAAATTGAGTTCCAAGAGACTCTATTATAACTTTTGAAAATAGAGTACGTATTTGATTTTCCAAATTCTTACTTTACAATAATTGCATTTAGGCTTTGTTCGAGTCCAATTTTTCGGGAAAATGAATTTTGTGATAGTGATTTTTAAAAAATGTATGATTAAAAAGTAAGAAAAATTTTGAATTTATGAAAATAAGTTTGAAAAATGAATCTTTTGATACTGGGGCTCATAAAGCTACATATTTCCATACTCTATTTTTTAAATTATTCAAATCATATTTGAATTAATTAGCCACTAACATATATAACATAAGTTGAATAAAAAGACGAAAACAAATCAATAAAATGTATCTTAAAAAATTAAAATGAAAAATCAAAATAGATAAGATTGTTGTAAATAGATAATTTCTTAAAGATGCTCCAAGGATAAGAATTCCAATAATGCTACTGG